TGCCAACGGGTTGATCACTGATGAAATCTCAGCACGGATACAGAAGGCTGGTTTCGCATATGCCAGTTTACGCCGTCTCTGGCGTAGACGTGATATCCGGCTGGATGTCAACCAAAGGGCGTGTGTACTGCTCAGCAGTCCACTCCGCTCTTCTTTATAGCCAGCTGTGAGACATAGCCATTGAGAGTGGAAGACATGAAAACGCCGGCTAGCTGTCTTTCATCATAGGTGCCTGTGTTCTATCTTCCATGTGAAGTGGTATAATAGGGTGAGCAATATTGGGGTTAGGCTTCGGTCTAGTGCTAAGTAAGGAGGGAAATCAATCGACGAGGTAGCTGATATAGGGTCAGGCTGGAAAAGAGCTAGTGGTGGTCAAACCAAAACATGGCTTCATCAGTCAATGAAATCCACAACAGTTAGTTTAAGCCAGCCACGTCGGGAGGTGTAGACTTCCTGGTTGGGGTCCTCGGGACGGTGAAAACCAGTGGTTGGAGACAATCGGTGATATGGCTCAAAACCGTTCTCAATGGCTGGCCCAGATGCATCCGTTCCTTGTGACTTATAATTTTCAATGAAACTATATTGTTCTCAGTTATTACTATTCGTTTTGTCTCCTATCCCTGTCTACTGTCTCTATTTTGCATTTCTTCTACTTTCTTCTCCTGCTTTGTATGCTACAAGGAGTGCGGCGACTTGAACTGCTGCACATCGGTGCAAAGTTCTATGTTGAAAAGAGACAGACAGACAACTTCAGTGAGTCACATAATTATCGAAAGATAAAGACTGGCCTGTGACTGTTAGGATACTATTTTGTTAGGAAAAATACTTCATATTTATCTATTTTTTACCATATTAAAATCGGCCCAGGGCAGTGGAAATAGATTGTTCCAATTGATAGGCGATTCTACTAAGGTAGGTAAAAAATAAGCATTCTGATTGGTTTGTGATCTAACCAATACCAAGGTGAGAAAAAAAGATGATGAAAGTCATCTGATCACACGATGAATCACATGTTGAGTCATAAGATGATTACTATTTTAAGCCAATTCCTATCAGTTAAAGTCAGAAAGGTGGAGACGCATTAACCCTGAAAATATAAACGTCGGACAGAATTTTTACTTGAATAGCGACCACACCTGAATATCTCGGTTATCAATGCTTCCGTCGTACACTACTATGAAGTTGCGCTGTTTCCATAGCTTTCTGCTATAACACTGGAGGTTATTTCAAAAGAAGGATTATGTGAATCATTGTCATCGCGGCTTGATTAAATGTCTAACAAGACAAATGTTGACTGATTTTTATCCTTCTCAATACAGCCATGCTGTAAAAAGGTTAGAGTTGAATCCGAAAAAAGTGAATTTCTGTAGCACATATACTGCTTCTGTAGACATCCTTTAACGTAGTTTGAAGTCTTTAATAGAATGCTAAAATATTTTACCGAATAGAGGAGATAATCCACAACAGAGACGACAAGAATACACACCTCACTTACTTGAAAAATCGATTCTTCAGAATCCCTAATGCTGCATCACCTCTGAAATCAATATTTTTAAATAAAACCTTCATTGTAAGAGTAAGATATTGCACATTATATCGCTTGCCATCCAAATTTTTATGAATAAACTTCGGTGAATATTTGTTCTGCATGAATACTGTTAAAGTTTATTTACCCCCTATAGCATTTCAGCATATTCTGATTACTTATGATAACTGAATTAAATTTCCGTCTCCACTCAGTGGTGTCTCATTATTCAAATTATTGTTCTGTCTATTACTTGGTGGCTTTCTGTATTCACATTTAGGTTGTACATTTTGCTAACTAACAGGTATAGCCAGATGTCATAACCAGGTGCTGTCTTAATCTAAGCTCTGACTAAATTCTGTTGACTATATGTTTAATCGATCAAAAATGTCCATTAGAAATTTCAAAAGACTGATTACTGAACAAAGAATATTCTTTACGATAACTTCTTCATCAGGTTCCACGGTTATATATCAATAATAATGAAAGAGTTAGGAATATTAACAACATTAATGTTTAAATAACGTGGAATTAATAATATCAGTAGATTGCAGTTCAGTAGTATCTGTAAGCGTGAGCTGTTGATGTTTTTCACTATACCTTTATTCAGCCATACTGGTAGGCGTTCCCGAGCACGAAAGATCAAGTTCCTAGAGCAACAGCCAATATAACTAGCTCCAGCTATCCAGAAAAGTTCATCAAGAAACACATGATGAAGAAAGCAGAAAAGGAATATTCTGTATCTGTAAATAAGAATCCTTTGTGTATACGGTTGCAGTTCAAGGGTGATTTGCCGGGGGAAATAATTACTAAAAAGTTGAGAAAATCTATTTAATGCTGGTAAACTAAAAGTCATATTCTCTACACGACCTATTGTGATTCATCAACTGAAAGATGAAGTACCTAGACTAGCCAGCTCTAATTGTATTTGCCAATTCAACTGCGATTGTGGAGCGAGTTATATTGGCTGTGCTCAAGAACACCTACCAGTGTAGCTAAATAAAGGTATAATGAAAAACATCAACAGCTCACGCTTAAGGATGTTACTGAATTGTAATATACTGATATTATTAATTTCAAGTTATTTAAGCATAAGTGTTGTTAATAACCTTAACTCTTTCTCTATTATAGATATATAACTGTAGAACCTGATGAAGAAGTTATCGTAAAGAATATTCTTTGTTCAGTAATCAGTCTTTTGAGAATACAATTTTATTGTTATATATATATATGTATAAACAGTATACCACATACTGTGGGGTGAGACAGTTTCTGAAGAATAACCATTATAATCCCAATATTCACTTTACGCGATACAGTAACAAAGAATACTCTTAGTCGGTCAAGGTCATATCATATATCTAAATAATCAATTTTATTAGCAAACTTGAAACTCTTCTTACTGTAACAAACTTGCAGTAGCTTAATATTACTAGAATTACCAATGTAATATGAACCACTTTTTTTCTGAATAGTTGGTGAAAAAAATGACTTCAGTAATCCTGCCCATGTATATTTAGATAATCTAGTCGCCGAACGCTAATGAATTCATCTAATACCAAGCTAATCAATACTGTGATTGAACTAATTCATCTCAATGAAAAGAAACTTGGCCACCGGGTCACGAAAAGGATTACAAACAAGTTACGAACTTTCACCATCAGCTGCCTTCGATGGCTCTATTCTGAAGATCAAGAGAATTAGTAATAAGAAACTGTCCAGTGGAACAAACCAACGAAGAGCCGATCGCTCAACAAATATGTAGGAGAAAGTGGAGATGGATGGATCGGGTATATGTTGAGGAGGCCGTCGAATGATATCGCACGCCAGGCTCTAATGGGAAGCGACGAGTGGGTCGTCAGTGAGAGGGTGACATGGAGGAGATTGCTTGAAGAAGAGATGAGAGAGTTTGGTCAATTGTGGAACCAGCTGAAGAGGATGGCAGAAAACAGAACAAAGTGGAGATGTGTTGTTGAAGCCTTATGTTCCACTCGGAACGCAAGGGAATAATAATATAATCCAGTTTATTTAGCTATTTGATCAAAGAAACTCAACTGACTGCTAAATGAAATGTTATCACCATTTCCCTCCTAATTGTAAAATATTCAGGTTAAACAATATAAAATTTGGATAACCAGAGCTAGCTAGCTGGCTGTCAACTTTAATACTTTGCATCTACTCATATCGACCATTTTTTTTTAAAGCAACATTATTCTTATATTTTCTCGTGAGAAAACTAATGATGCATCTAAACAGGATATGGATTTCATAGTGTGAATTAAGTCGACAACTACCGATAATTGGTGAAATATACTTTCTGTTCATTCCTTTACTTTCCAATTGGAATATAAAGCTTCAAGCTTTAAAAAGTTCCTGCACTAATGATGTTACTTTTACTATCTGAAGTTGCTAACCTGACACCCTACCTCTCCTCTTTTACAGGCTGATTAACAACTAGCAAACTGAGTTAGGCTAAGAGATGCGTCGGCCAGGAATCGAGCCAGAACCATACGGAGTGTTGGTGAGCATTCTATCACTGAACCACAGATGCATACATTGCGATTTTGTTAATTATTATCCATGTGTAAACGGGAGTACAGTTCATTATGAGGTCTTTAGAAAACGTACTGTGGAGAAAGTTAAAAATCATTAACAAGAAGATGTTTTACACGAGTCCGTCAATATTATACAAGTCATCAGTTAGTGACCATGCCTCATGAACATAATGACAACGTTTGAAATAAATAATCATTTCAAATGTTCATTCTAGTGTTCCTAAACACTATCATATGCCTTCCTTTATTTCATGCATTTTACTTCTTCTTAAGAGTTAGTTTGTAGTGCGTCGGTGGCATAGTGGTTAGGACGCTCTCCGACCATGCACATGGTCCGGGGTTCGATCCCCGGCCGACGCACTCCTTTACCTTGCTAAGCCAGAAATAATGCTGGTGAGGAGAAAAGGTTGGGCATGAGGCTAGCAACCCCATCCTGTAAAATAAACACTGATACAGAAACTTCAAGCCTCTAGCTTGAAGCCCTATGTTCCACTGGAAACGTGAAGGAAAAAAAGAGTTATTTTGTAGGGATTTGATTTATTTCAATTATCACCGCAATTTGATATCACTTATAAAACTATTGAAAACTAGAGAGTATTGGACAATTGTTTCGTCCCACTTTGAAACTCCTCATCTGTACGGACCCACAACCCCATCAGAGATTGAACCCAGGATCTCTAGGTTTCAAGGCTAGGCTCATTGACCATTCAGCCACTTTACTTGGGCTGGAATTTGTGAATTCTGACTTCTGTTAGTTTCTTCGCCTAGACCATTACCGATGGAATATACTTAGTACGACATTAACTATAGTTTAATGTCTCCGGTTATATCATGTTCAAATTTTATCTGAACATATTTTTCAACAACAAGCGATATTAACAAGTGTGTACAAAAATGTTTTGATATCAAATATCACTTACAACAGTCAGTTTGTTGTGATAACTGGTCCAGTGTTACAATGATAACCAGCAATATAATCATCTAAATTTAATGTAGCATGTAAAAAGTGTTGTTAACTGATAAATATTAGATATATAGAACACTGAAGAGTAAATAGTAAGACATACATTTATAGACTGATAAGAAAAACCTACTTATTTAATTTCTCTGTCTATCAACCAGTTACATTTCTTCTAACTCTAAATTCATATTCATATGTTAACGTGCATTCCACTAAAATTGTGCTCTACATAGGCGCATATAACTGATTATAAAATAGAAAAGAGTTGGAGAGTCATCACCTTTTTTGTTTTATTTATTTGTTTTAATGAGTTTGACCATGGAGTGATATCAGTTAGAGAACCATTGGAAAACCAGGGAGTACTGGACAGTCAGCTGTTTCGTCCTAGTTTGGGAATCATCGGCAGTACGCACCCACCTCCAGGGGTCGAACCCAGGACCTTCAGGTTACAAGGCAAGCTCGTATACCATTCAACCACTGGAACCCGATTCAATGGCCAGTTCATGAATTCTAACTTCTAGCAATTCCTGATTTAGCACAACCCCAACCAGTGTCGTCGGTGGGACATCCATCCTCACACTTGACTGTATGGACCTCATTGGTCACGACTTCTCACTAGAAATCCAGGAAACTCCGTTCTGTATTTATTTATTTAACACCTAAGATCTGAGGTTCACTCGAATTATCTGACTGATACCTATAGGCATAGCCATCTGTGATCATTTAATTTTTCTGCTTTAAATAGATACACTACTATTTAATAGCGAATGCTATTTATTCAGTGTATGTACTAAAACTCATGCATTGTTCATTTTGTATCACTAGAAAATAATCCACTTTAAGACTAAGCCTGTGTCAATCAGTCATTTGAAATTTACTCTATACAATGGCTAAATATAAATTAACCACTCTTCATAACTTCCTGTAGTGGAATTCTCTAAATTGCTTACAGTGGCAACAATTTAAGTGTATAGAATTTAGATTAGGGAGCGATAAAATCCTTCCCCTAAATGTAAATCTTCATTGCAGTTGGCAAGATTGTCATTCGACTAAATATGTTGAAACAGGAAGTGTGAAATTTAGCAGATTTAAAATTTATAATGACTATAGAATTTCTCACTTTGCTATTTATAATAATTTATATGCCTGCATACATCATTACTGTTGAGGTGTTGAAATTAGTCACTAAAATTATATTTAAAATGCTTTTTCCCACTATTTTCTAGTTTTCATGGTTCCTAATAGTCAGTTATAATCCGGTTAGCCTGGACAGATAACTTACTTATACGACTATGTGCTATAGCTTTGTGTGATGACTGATGGTGTTAGCCACTCATTAAGACTACAGTAGGTGAATTTAGATTTAAATGAGGAAGCGACTAGCTGAAGGTCAAGTGAAAGAACCCATGAGTCACATATCCAGTGAAGCATTGCAAATATTTCGCTGCAATACCCTGCGACTGATATGTTTAGACTATCTTTTTTCGCATTGATGAGCTACATAAATATTCAAAAGGCATCTAAGATCATCTGTAGATTTCTGTGCTTAGATTAGAAGGATACTAACACTTAACAGCCAATTTTCCAGACTTATGGATAAGTTTGATGGATTGAACATCAAATGAATAAACTGTCATATCATTAAGTCACTCTTATGTGGCAACACATTTATGTATATCAATGTAAGTGGTACCTAACTTCTGATGTTATTCACTAGCATATATCCTTTATGGGTGCCGATTCTTTTGTAAAGACTACAATTTTTAACCAACAAAGAATGGTTAGCAAAATAAGGTCTACCGAAGCTGCCAATAGGGCAAACAACAAGCCTCTCAGCTGTGGAAAATATAAATGTGAACCGTCCAAATTCTACAGGAATTTCATAGTGATTATTTATTTCACTTGTATTAAATTTTCATTCTTCCTTAAGGCTACCGGCATGAAATCGAAACATGATAAGTACTCATAATTGATGACTTCTGTTTTCATTTTCTAATACAATCGAGGGGTTTCCTTCTCAACTGTGATAAAAATCCAGTATAATATTCTAATATTTGTATATTTTCTCAAGCATTTAATTGATATCGAATACATAACCAATCAGTGGTGAAGATGAAAATGCTGAACACAAAATGATACAGTAACGAAATTAAGAACAATGTCAGTTGCACGGACACTCGCCGAGGAGTAGTGAGTGAAGGCAAAATATATACAGTTATTCGACTTAAAATATATCACTTATAGCATTTTGTTTCAGCTCAGTGACTTAATTATGGTATGCCGCCTTACTGAGTCGAAGATATTGTGTTCGACAGTTGGTGGGCTTATGAGTATGCAGTGTTGAAGAGTACCAGGTGAGGACGAAACAGTTGGCTACGGCACTCTGATTTCCGATAGCCATCTAAATGATATTCGCTGTGAAGTCAGTCAAATTATCGAATAGTCATAACTTGAAAAATTTCAAGTTTCTTGATTAGTATGTTGTTGTGTAACAAGCTTCCTTAACTTTCCTTTGTTACACTTAATTTCAGCATAATTTCTTGGTCTTCAATGCTAGACTGTGTGCCGTATTTGAATTTTGAGGATAGTTTCACCAAGTGATTTCTGGTCTTGATATTAATCAAACCATACGCAGTCAATTTAGAATTCTTCGGTACACTAGAAACATTTCTAAAATCTTATTATACGACTATTAGTAGATAAGTACCAGTCGAAAAGCCATTTTCTACTGATTAGCAAGAAATACACAAAAGTCTGAAAATCAATTAAACCGAAATTCTCTTGAGCAATCTGTATCCCTAAACTGACTTACAAATCTTCTTGATTTCTTGAAAGTTCAATGAACAACATTATATTATTCTGTTATAGTCCCTTTTGGCTCCGAGTGGAAGATAGGGCTTCAACAAGACATCTCCACTTTCTTCTGCTTTTTGCTGTCATCTTCAGCTGGTTGACGTGGGTTCGAGGCTCAGAAGATATATGAGTTCCTTTAAGGTTGCAGATACGCCTTGCTGACTGGTGAGTGCCAATTATCACGAAACCTAAGCCGAACGTCTCTAACTATCTAGTATCAGAAATATTTTGATCTTGAATTTTAATTACAGTTTTAATCAACCACTTGAAGAGGTTTTTGAATTAATATACGGGTTTAATAATAACACGTGATCAAAGATAATTATATATAAGACGGAGAGAGAGTTATTAGAATGCTGTCCAATAACAATAAGTGATTCTCTTTGCACAAGAGGTAACTGCTATAGCCCAATATCGTCTAGTTGATAGTGCTGTTATGTTTAAAACGATGGGTACAGGGTCCGAGTTTCAGTGGGAACACCACTATTCACTGAGGAGTGCAGGTGCATCCAGCTAGCTGTTGGATGCGGTTGATAAAGACTTCGGCACTGCACGTCGTGGTGCTGAAGTAGTTTCCGAACGACTTCGCGGTCAATGCTGCCTGTCGAAGGCCTTTTCGAAGTCGATGAAGTTCAGGTAGAGGTTTGACTGCCATAATATGCTTTCATCGATGAAGATGCATAGAGTTGCAATTTGATCGGCACATGATTTGCCTTTCCTGAATCTAGCTTGTTACATCTGGCGGAGTTCTGTATCCAGTGCACCCTGAACAACATAAAGAACTTGATTTACTTAACAAATTCACCTTCACGAACAGCAACGAATATCATGCTGGACCGCTGGGTTACTACGGATCACAACGCACCTAAGGGTATTAGGTCATAATCACACTTCAAATACACGATTACAGATAAAATCACGAAAGTTTTTTAGAACTTTAACACGTCATTTGGAAGTATGAAGAAATAATCATGAAATAATGGCACTCAGATGAAAATACAGCGCACAGACATATATAAAAAGGAAATTATCCACCGAGTATGCAAGGAAAACAAATTAAACAGCTTCATATTCTCTTACCATTACTCTTAAGAAACAACTCGTCCTTTGAATATAGAAAGTGATAAGAACCATATGACATGATTGAACAATGTTCAACACCTTGGGAACGAAACGCTGGAAGCTAGAAAGCGATCATCTCAAAGAAAAGGTATGACATAAAGGAAACATTTTAAAATGAAACAAACTACTGAAGTCCTGACAATTTAAATATGAAAATCAGACCCGTTCATTTACAAGTAAAATTCCAAATGCATAGATGGTCAGGAGATAGACAAAACAAAAGATGTCACCCTGGCTTAAAGACATCGATCAAAAATCATCTGAAAATAACCATGCTTAAATTTCTACACAGGTAGAAAATGTCAGCAATGAAGATAAAGAAGCCAATGCGAAGTGCAGTGCAATAAAACAAACTGAAGAAAACTTCAGTTCACAAAAACACACTGGTAAAACAAAATGAAAAAAACTTTAAAATAAAATGCCATGTGAAGCTGGTGGCTTTTTCGTGCTTGTTCACAAAAATATATATTCAAAGATTTATGCAATATACACCTACAGTTGCTGTTTTTTAAACCTCTTAGTCAAACTAATCAGCAGATGACTGTATTTAAGTTTTTGAAAGGGATCTATCATATTAAAACTGGAAACGATTCAGAGTATAAAAGCAAATGAAACGTTTTGAGTCTTGAAAACTTGTGATTTCTTATGTCGAATGTTAAACAAAGTAACTATCACCTTGTAAAAAGTGTTATAGATTTATCACTTCACTGAAAGAGCTTAAGAATAAGTTAAATGGCAAAGCATTCTGACACACACAGAGTTACGGTGTTAGAGGTCACGAGCTGGTTGACGTTAAAGCTTAGCAACAATCAACAACTAATCACCACCAACTGGAAAAATTTGTAGGAGCACACCACTTTCACTTACCTCGGTAGCATCCTTCTAACTTCAACTTAAAATCCAGCCAGGATCGAAAAGGCGAGAGAGACATTCGTCAGTCCTAAATCAGTTTGGAAATCTTCTGCACTTATTATCAGGAACAAAATTAGGATTTTCAGCACTAATGCCAAGTCAGTCAGTGCTTTTATATGCTCTAACAGCCTACTGTAGACTTTTATCAATGCCTGACTTCTCTAGCTCCATACTGAAAATCAGATGATCGGCCTGAAAGCATTAGCTACACGGAACTCTGGCAAGGAAACAATCAACAACCTATTGTTCAACAAATATTCGGAAGAAAAATGTGGGTGGATTCCACATACAATGAGGAGACCATTGAGCAACATTCCGCCTCACCGTAGCTTGAGTGTAGCTCAAATGGGAAGCGACGGGTTGGGTATCGTTCGGTGGATGACATGGAAGACATGTTTTGGGAGGAAATTGGAACTTATGATAATTCGCGTAGCCAATTAAAGAAAATTGCAAAGAACAGGTTTAAATGGAGGTGTACTGTTGATATAATATATGACAACGAATTTAGTGAGTAAGCAGTGTCAAGAACCCCATTGACATCCACATTCATATGGAGATTCTAGTCAGTATTGCTTACTCTTGCATTTAGGGACTTCCTCATTTTAGTATTAAGATTATGCTAATCAATGTGAAATAAGAGAACCTGGAGGTATTGCCTTACATTCAAATCACATTTTAATGTTATGTTTACTTTAAAACACATCAGTTCAGATTAAAGGATAACTATTAAAAATTCATTTCATTTTACGAGTTGATCACGGATTGATATCAGTTAGAGAACCATTGAAAACCAACCAGCAAGTGCTGGACAGCTGTTTCATGCTAGTTTGAGAGTCATCGGCAGCAAGCACCCACCACCAGGGGTCGAACCCAGGACCTTCAGGCTATAAGGCAAGCTCACATTCCATTCAGCCACTGGGACCCGATTCAATGGCCAGTTCATGAATTTTAACCTCTAACAATTCGTGATTTAGCGTGGCCACCAAACAATGTCATCGGTGGGACATCCACCCTTACACTTGACTGGAAAGACCTCACTGGTCACGACTTCTTATTTTATTTTGTCAAAATCTGCATCTCTGTGTATGGCATCTAGTGATATCAACCACCAATTTGTAGGACTGATTTCCCCAAATTTATTTTTCTGTTTCTTTCATGACTGCAGCCTGTCACATTAACAATCAACTTTCAAAATAATAATAACACCTTATTTCAAAATCTCCAAAAACTAAGTTCAAAACTCGCTACCAGTATTATTCATTCAAAATTCTAACAATCGGAAAAGAGAAGAAAATCGACCAAACTTCAACACACCATCTAATTTAGAAGTTTTCTGCTGATATGATCACAATAATTTGACAAAACTAATACATTTTGAACAGGCATTTCTCATGATGCTTAAAATGGTTTTATAAGTTTTGTCAAAGAAAAATTCATGGCATCACCACAGACTTCACTGGCTACATCTTTATAATGAAAGTAACTGCAGAGAGAAATTAGATTTATTAAATATACGAGAAGACTATTCACACAAGAAACAGACACCGACTTGTAGGAGCTGATATAAAGAGGCTTTCTGGACTTAAAACATCAGTTATTTAGCAACTTTGTCTTTTAGAACTGTCCATTGTTTCTGCTTAAAAACCAAGACTAGAATGGAAGGGAATTAACTCCCTAAACCTGAGTGATTCTGGCGCCAGAGTGAGCTTACAACCAAATGTCAGAGAATAGAATCGATCTAAGTCGACTTGGGTATTCAGAATAAATTTCATGATGGTATTTATAGAGTTAGGGAAAAATTAATTATTTGTACCTGCTACATAAAATATTTATAATTACCGGCTGAAAAATATGTCAGCAAGTTGTATATTTAATTTGTAAGTAAATTCCCCACCATACTGTTCTTCTTGTTATCTAAAGAATACTCACAACTAACAAACCAAAACTGGAAGAATTATTTTGGTATGCAAGTATCAAGAATATTTATTGAGTTAAATTATATTAGGGATGCTGTGTAATTTGAATTCAATGCCTCAGTTATCTAGCTTTCCTGCTGAAGTTTGTACCGGTGATATTCCTCAGAATGCCATCTAGCTCAAAGAAAGGAACAAGGTCATGTATTTATTAGCTTCAGTCATACAACTGTTTAGATAACAGTATTTACTTGGATGTAAAATATTTCCACCTGCCGTTATTTACTTGATGAAAACAGAGTAATAACTAATATAAATTCACATTACCTCGTTTGCGGAGCTTGAGATGCAACATAATAAACTTAGGTGAAAAGGATTTGATGAGATAATGATATAAGAAAATTGTTCAACCACCAAAGTCGCTTAATAATGTTATTAAAAATTGAAGAATTTATAGGCCAATGTTTCGACCTCATCTTTTCCAAAACAGGAGAATAGAAGTAAAACAAATGCCTTTATGCTTTTGATAACAAAGTGAACTCCTAAAGTTTCTACAGAAATAAAGAGCTCTTATCTATAGACAAATCTTCTTAATTTTCCTGGGTTATTTTCCAAAACGCTCCATGAACAGTATTAGAATAGTCAGTAAAAGATGACGACCTAAACTGGGTTGAAATGAGAACTAAATTACCAATATGAAGTCATATTGACTGACCTAGAGATACCCGGTTCTATCTATATCTTCACTATTTTTTAATAAGACCAGAGACTCACTTTCAAAAGGAATTCAGTTCCTATTTCCCCTATAATCATATATTGCCAATACTTAAATTCCAGTCTAGCCTACGTGAAGCTATCGTTAATAATCTTACGAGTAATAGTAGAATATGTTTATTCGCTGTCAGGTAGGATTTTACGCTTCGATAGGAATAGCCTTTCTGTGGCATCTATGACATTTTAACCATTAATATTTTGAAAACACAAAAGGATTTATGCCCATACCACTGGGAAGCGAAGAGTGGGTCATCAGTGAGAGGGTGACATGGAGGAGATCATGTGGCGAGGAGGAGATGAGAGATAATGGTGGCTGAAATAGAACAAAGTAAAGATGTGTTGTTGAAGCCCTATGTTCCACTCGGAACTCAAGGGAATAATAATATTGTAATAATTTAAGCTGCTGATAAGTTTCATACTCAAATATGTTTGATACATGCATCCAGTATTATCTTTCAAGATCTCAAAAACGCACAACCAATTGATCTGATCTTACAACATACGGGTAATTAAGAAGTAAAATAAGAATGTATAAGTGATAATATTGATTGAAAGTTAAACAAGCAATACAAGCTGTCATTTAAAAGTTTATTTTTCTTCTTATCGTATGCCTGTCATCACTTTCCTCTTCATTATCTCGTTCAGACTGACATGGGCTTAACTGGCGATGTAATGACTGAAAAGCAAAACAAAATCATGTTTTAGTGATATATATATATATTGGGTGAAACACAGTAAACAACTAAATATAAATCACCATTACAAATGATTACAAAACGGAACGCCCAAATGCTAACAACTAAAGAGTTTTGTTAAAATAAGGCATCTTTTATAAGGATGCATACAATTAATAAAACCTACACATCAATAAATAAACTTTACTTCGGATGAAGTCTAATAGCGTGAGGCATTTTATTATTTACTAAATAATTAGGGATTCCAAGTTATTTTAAAGTTGTTCAATCTGTTCTTATTATGGTGATATCAGCAACCGTTTATTGACGATTTTGCGGCAAAGAGCAGCCTAGATATGGTAGTCATGGTAGTAGTACTAGTTGAAGTTAAAGTATAATTGTTGTTGTTGTTGGCTTTACTCTCACAGAAATAGGGCGTAAACCAACTGGTTATATTTCATTACCAAGAATTTAATTCACTTTTACATACTACTTAAATGGGATGGGTTCAAACAGTTAACTTAATATAATCAGACTGACTTTGCTGTGATTGCTGCCAATGCATTTTAGTCGAAACACTTTCATGGAACAATACTTCATTACTTATTCTAGTATCGAATATACTATTATTATCTCCTTGGGTTCGGAGTCGAGCATAGGGATTTAACAGCACATCTCCACCTCATTCTACTCCCTGAGGTTTTCTTCGGCTGGTCCCACGATCACCCGTAATGTCTTATCTCCTCACACGATCTCCTGCATGTCACCCTCGAACAAGCTACTCATCGTTTCCCACTCGGGTTTCACTTGAGGAGGATGGTTGGCGCGATGTCACTTGGCATGAATCCGACCCACCAAAATTTTCTGCTGAATATTCGTTAAGCAGTAGGTTCTTGGTTGGTTGTTTCCTAGAGTCCCTTTCTGCTTATTCTTTCAAGTTATCTCATCTTAAGTATGGAGCCAGAGAAGGCCCCTGTAGATGGAATTCTAAAGCCTTTCCGAAATGCTTTCCGTGACGCGCTAAATTTCTCACCCATATAGAAGAGCTGATTTACCATTGGTGTTGAAAACCTGTTTATGCTGAGTGCAATAGATTTCTAAACTGATTTTAGATTGATGAAGGTCTATCCTGCCTTTCTGATCTTGACTTTGACAACACTATCCGTTCTGTAACCTGTGGCTGAAATGATTCCGTCTGGATAAATGAAAAAGTAACTTCCTTCAAATTTCCACCGTTCATAGTGACTGATGTTTGTTGGTTGGATACCTTCGTCACCTCTGTGTTTACCTGAGCTTCTGTCTTCGTTTCTTCTTCTACCAACCTGTTGGTTTCTGCATGTTAGTCTTTGATTTCTTTTTTGACACTAGACATAAACAAACTGTGCTCTAAGTGATCGTCGAAGTCTTATAATAATAAATGCTTTAACAATCCTGGAATACAACTTCATTTCTTAAGTGTGAAAATTTCAAGTGGATGTGTTTTTATTAAAATTTTAGTGCTATTTTAGTCTGATGACTGCAATGCAAGTGAGTCTAATAGGAGAAATCCATCATTTCTCCAGCTTTGCCCATTATCCATAAACTTTAAAATATCTTAGTCATTTAAAATTCCCAGTTTTTGGGCAAAATATATATTTCCAATGAAAATCTGATAACAAGCACATTCATTCAAGCAATCATGAGATAAGCAACACTGATATACATGAAACTTCCCTAAAGAATATTCATTATCTACAGTCTATTTTAGTCCTTGTCTACTTAAGTCATTTTGGCAATGTTTGATTATTATTTCCGGAGTTACAAATAACGATTTTCTACCCGTAACTGTTATTCTTAATATTATCAAAATTTACCAGTCGACTACCTTGTAATTCATTGTGAAGGATAAATCAAATAATTCATGGAGAGAAGAGAGTATGTAATCTCACTAACTATAACTTTTTCGTTTGAAATAGGAAAAACTATTGTTTACAAATGTCATCTGATTGCTTGTTACTACTCCTATCACATATCATTCTTAGGAAAGCAGAAATAGTTCTGCTTCCGTTAATATTTTGAAGTTGTCTTTCAGTAACTTTTACTGTAGAATTTGTGTATTTTTAACTCCTAAAGGCGTTTGAAAATAACAAAAATTCATCTAGAAAATGAAGTTAAACCAAGGAAACGTGTGGGTAAAGTTTCCCTAAGACGTCTAGTTTTCTTTCAGACTTCATCACTAGAGAGTTTGAAAGGTGTAATCCCTGTACTTCAGACAGTATAGCTTCGTTGACTTGGAGATAAAACGTTAAGGCTACAGTCATGCGAAAGAGTGACGGTTCCACTTAGTACATCTGAGTATTTAGAATTTTCTATTTACTCCGAAAGTGTATTTACGTAAAATCATACTTCTCAGAAATGAATTAGTCAAAAGAATACTGAACTTACAGAATTTGTCCAATAATCTCACTAAAAATGAAAACCGTAAAATGTATCCATTATTTAAACCATGTCAGTTTGGGGTATTCATTTTACGCGCCCTGAACGAAAACTTTGATTGAAAGTAATCATCTGTTCTTATGAAAATTATAGGGTCCATGTTGAAATTTGCATATGTTCAAAACAATAAGTGAATAAGCAACACAGCTCTATCTCCAGGTCATTTCTCCAATAGGTAACTGTCCATACAACCAACCTGGTTGACCTTATTCATCGGGCCTTCTTATTAACCAGAGGGTCTGAATCCAGTATCATCCAGATTCGCAAACTCACTCAACCTCTTAAGATATCCACTCTGAAGGCAGCTACGAAGTTCAGAAATGCTTACATTCAAGTCTAGTTGATATTGATTCAGTCATTCAATCGTACACTGAAAGTGCATCGCTTACTTTCCACAACAATCAGAGAATATGGCTTTTATTGACTTTCAAATTTAACAAGTGATTATCGAATCTTTACTAATCTGTCTGTCAAGCCAACGATGCTCATTAAAAAATGCTATTTAGGTTTGAAATGTGTTCACTTGGCTACTCGACACGATTATGAGGTGGACTATTCTTGGTGTCACGGGGTAACGATCAGTTTTTAAACAGTCATGAATCTCGAATTAACGCTTTTTATTGAAGATCAGCAAGATATAGGCCACCTTGACAAGTCACTGCCTTCATTCTTCTCAACTTGATACCTAAAGGACAAGCAGAAGGTAAACTAAGCAGCGACTTATTGTCTGTACAAAGTGGCAGGCAGTCACATTTTGTAAAAGAACTCTGATGGATGTGAGTAGATGGCTGCTAGTTGATAAAAGACAGAGATACTTACAAACATTAGTTTATAATTACTTTCTAAATTTCTTTTACTCTAAAGAATTCTTCATAACCGTACATCTCCAGTAGTCATCTTAAGTTGGTTCTGTTTTTTTACAATAAATATACTCTCTACCATGCGAAACACGATTTAGTTGTGGATTATCGTGACACTTGAAACATTTGAAAATGTTACAGCATTTTAATTCTAACAGTACTCATTTGAAATCAAAGTGAGTAATGTCGATAGTGAGTGTAGGATAGCTGGTTAGGGAAACAAGTCGGTAAATTTCTGCTTATTAAAGTGTCTAGATTAGAGAACAATCATAAGTATCCCAACCATCAATGATTCAAATGTTCTTTGCATTTCACTTATAACCATACAGATGAAGACACCCATTTCATTTGGTATTATCTTGAAACAGTCACTGTGTACGTAAGTGGGAAAACGTCCATGGCTGTCGATTTCATTATTAACTTCTCAAATTCACACATGACTCCTGACCATTATCGTATGTATCGTTATTAGACTCCTAACACACAGAAATTAATAAAACTAGAAATAACAGAGATAAAGCATTACACGATTCTTGCTAACCATTCCATTACAGGTGCACAGTTGGGGAAATGAATTCTTCCCGAAGAATGTAAAGATACTGGTTACAAACGAAAACATATACACTGTCAGAGAATCTCAGAAGCTTGGTTCTTAAGTCAAACTATTGGAAAGAGCGATAAATCACAACAAGACCATACTTAAGGTTAAGAGGAAGGATGATCATTGTGTCACCACAAGCCTGGAAGTAAATTGCTTTTCACCATCCTAAAGAAGAGTACTGGTTTTATATTCAGGTATGTTAGTGAATCGAAAATCCCAAATAACCATATTTTTAAAAACATGTTTCTCACCCAATAACACCGAATAGTATTCTGTAAATAAATTGTAAAGTGTAAATCATTATTGAGCGTTTCATTTTATTAAAGGCATCTCCTTCTGTTCTTCTAAGGCTGTTCACATCATCCATTACAATATCTCCCAGATGTTTAATAACATACAAATGTATTCAAATGGTGAGAAAGCGTATTCAAACCTCATACAGGAGGCATTAACCTACTGGACTATCTATCTGAAGCAGGCAACTATGGTTTACCGAAATTAGTGTGTCTGTTTAATTAGCCTAATATTAAAGTATGTTGGAACAAATTCTTTAGAAGAATAGCTTTGTATTTAGACCTTAGTTGTGGTTGGTTAAGATAACAAGTTGGTGTTGTCTGTGGAAGATAGTTCGTAGTCATTAATGTTAATTTTGAATTATACTCACGAACCAAAGAAAAGCTAATTCATTTATTATTATTATTTCATTCCTTTACTTTCTGAGGGGAAAATAGGGCTTCAAGCTAGAAGCTTGGGATTGCTGACCTCATGCCCAACCTTCCCTTTTTTACCAGTCTTATTACTGGCTTAGCGAGGTAAAGGAGTGCGACGGGTGGGGTTTGAACCCCGGACCAAATGTGTAGTTGGTCAGCATTCTACTGCTGCGCCACCGACGCCTGAAGAGAAACTACGGTGAGGTGATATTTAAAGTTCGCCGACTTCTTGAATGGCCTAGACCTCTTCCCACTGTTGTCTATTTTTTCATATGATAGCGACTTCTTATCGCACAAATTTATCCCATCAAGGGAGTCTTGAGTCCTACTTTTGAACTGAAGATAAAAGTTATCACTATTAATCTAAATGGACTAGTGAACCTTTCTTTTAAAACCGAAAGTCTTGCTGTGAAATAGAGAAAATAGGTAAACATTAATATGCTCCTTACTGCTCAAAATAAATTAAGCAGTCAGAAACTTTCATTTCGTTTCATTTCATTGGAATAATAAAAATTTGTGATTGCTTATATCCTATGGGTACTGGTAAGCTCCAATGCTAAACAAAGAAATGACTAGTAAGAGTAGTTTTTCCTTTTGAAGATTCTATCAGATTTTGAAAAGTTTCTTAAAAAAGGAATTTGACCAGAATCTCAAATCAACTGAAATATCATTGTGAAGCAAGGAGTACATCCCATTTCTTATACTCAACCTCGGAAGCTAATCTCAAGAACACCAATTCACGTGAAGAGCACGTTGACATTAATTTACGAATAGTTTATTTAATATTACAACTGACATTTCTTATTGGAACCGAGTGAGACTTGATTTGATTTGATTATAGCTTGATTCCACACCGTATTTTGGTACATTTGTGGAATTTTCAGCATGTGATATCGGTAGCCCGAATTTTCCAGGTCGACCATTGATATTAGGTGTGCGTCGGCCGGGGATCGAACCCCGGACCATGCGCATGGTCGGCGAGAGTCCTAACCGCTGTACCACTGACGCACAATACTTCTTCTTAAACTTGGCAAGGGTGTAAGCACTCCAGTCAACTGATTGAAGTCTTCTGCCCCAACCGGAGAAACCCCTCCGGCTAGGTGAGCGAAATCTGTAATAAAACGTCTGTTAGATAAACAGGAAGTATGTTTTGCAATCAAAAATCAATCTCTAAAACTCAAATACAACTGTTTAGCATTTAGGGACATTTAAACAAAGATTAGTGAATTCTATAATAACTATGATAGCAGACGTCTTTTTCGATCCATCAGTGTGATTAGAGAATATCTTTCAATGATATTCTTATCAGTAGTTTTAGTGAGAGTCGAAGGATAAAGATAACTAGTTGGATATAACTGTCAGATCTTCTTCTTTGACTGTGTCAGCTCGAAGAACGCATTCAACTCAATTTAAACACTTAAACTTTCACTAATTTGTGTTGTTATAGCTTCTAGATAAGACATGATGTACCAGTTACAGTCAGATATATTTGCATATTTAGTTAGCATTTTTACAAAACTTCGTTGAATATAAAGCTTTGGTTGTTAGCCCTTGTAAACTTACGGTGCTGTAGCTGCAATCATTACTCCACTTTAAAAGTAAGTGAGAATAAAGTAAAGGGAAGATATTTATATCATTAAATTGGTAATATATATATATATATATAGTGCCATAAAGAATAATTCATAAAATATGCCATTCATATGCTCTCTAGATTTTACTCATTACTCATTGCCCTACATAATTTCTCTATTTAACCAGTAATCTCAACTGCGATTAACAGTATAAAAAAGCTTTCTGATATTTAAGTGCCTGAAGTAATTCGTTAATTGTGTGAGACTAACATAAGTATTTTATTCAGCTAGAGTTGTATGTGATATGTGATTCTAACTCTTGAATTTCACTCAGAACTTCCAAGTAATTAGAACAACATCACAGTCTTCAAAGATTCTTTTTTCAGTAAAACTGTGCTACCTTAATATCGGATATCTTTGGTCACTTTTTTCATTCACACATCATACAGCATTACTCCCTATCACCTTTATGTAGTAGTCAAAGATCCGGAAATCATGCATTCTTAATTATGAACAAATTTAATTCTAAAAAAATAGAAAGGAAGTGAGTCATCTTAAATCTTGGTAAGTGCATTACTTACACTTAGTGTCAACTAGCATGAATTTTCTAAAAATTCAGTATCTGTACTGAATAGTGAAGGGATGTACTGGAGAAATATTTATTTAAGATACTGACCAATGCATCATCTGATGGTTCAAGGTCGACTAAGAACAATCTGGTAGAAAGCGAATCTCATAGCAATGCTTAACTAGTCAGTTAAACTAATAGTTATGAAATCTTTCGTGTAAAATATGCTAACCAACTTACAGTTCATCATGGGGTCTAAATAAATATCAAACGTGAAAAAAATGCTTATAAATTTGATCTACTGACAAATAATAAGTATGCAAATCAGCCATATTAAGAAAAACACATAAAATATTAGAAAAGTTTATTTTTAAAGTTGGTTGTCGACTACACACCACTCGCCATTGATAAAAATCGTTTATTATACATAGTGGATACAAATGACTGATATAAATAGTTGAAAATCACTCGCATCCGTCAGTAGTGTCCATTGGTGATATTAAAGCTATCTAAACATTAATCTGATGCTCACTAGTGACTGGCCTCATTCAGGCAGTTAACCTGGAGTTCTGGTGGGAAGCCGTGATCAGTAGGGTGCAGCAGCTTGAAGGTGAAGTAGTAACTCATTAAGAAGACATTGAGAAGTGGTCGCGCTATGTCGCGAATTAGCAGAAGTTTGGATTCATGGGCCAATGGTAGACGTCCCTAACCCTAACCAGAAGGTCCTGAGTTCGAATCCCGTGGTGTGGGTGCGTGCTGGGAACAGTCCCAAACTAGGACGGATGAAACAGCTGTCCAGTACTCCCACGTTTTCCAGTAGTTTTATGACTGATGTCAGCTTATGATGAAATCCTCCAATCAATTAAACAAAAGTCCCCTACAAAACCATTGCTTGAACATTAGTCTAATACTTCATTCCTTTGCATCTTATTTCCCCCCACCTTTGCGCAAGTGTAATTCATTTTACCATATCATTTTAGCATATCATTCAAAACTCCAGACTTATAGTTATTTCAAAATACAACATTCGAAGTTAAATCTATTCATATCACTGAGCAGTATATACTGCCCAGTTATCATGCTGATATAGTTTGAAATTTTGATTAGTTCAAAATGAGCTTTTTACACGACATGTCATTCTAGAGTGCAAACAGTGGATACTTCAAGTTTGACCAAGGACTGATATCAGCTATGGAATCATTGAAAATTAGAGAGTACTGGATAGCTACTTCATCCTGACATCAATTCGTGGTCACACTTGAAACAAATCAAATCGCTACAATATAACTCTTGGAAATTAATCTGATGCTGGCTATTGACTGGCTATAGGACGAGGTTGACTGAAAGTCTAGTTAAAAGTTGTGACCACTGGGGTTCATCTGGTCAACAGTGAGAACAAATACTTGCCGATTTCATTGGCTGGTGCCATTCGCGCTAAAACCACAAACTGACAGAAGTTAGAATTCATGGGCTGAGCATTGAGTTGAATCTCAGTGGCTGAATGGTTTTCCTTCTAACCGAATTCTCTAGAGTTCGAACCCCGATGGGTGCGTACTGTCGATGAATCTGTGAGTAAAGCGCAGCAGTTGTCCAGTACTCCATGGTTATCAGTGGTTCTCTAAATGATATCAGTCCGTGATCAATAGTGAAATATAACAAATCCCTACAAACTAATCTTGAACGTTGACAGTCGTTATATCTCAGGAAAGAGGAATATCAAACTTTTGAGTTTTCTTCAAGATTTATCTTTGGAATTTATCTTGAATGTTACATTACTGAATCTTCGTAAGCTTTTACACATTCACCTCTTGAAAGACTCATTAGTAATAAAGTCGTTTAACCTAATGAAAGAGTATTCATTATCAGATATTTAAAACCTGAATCACTCAAACAGAGCAAAACACCTCTTGTACTATTACCAATGAAAATATTTCTAATTTTAGTTGTATATTTCTTACTCAGAGAGCTAAATATTTCTTCAGGATTCCATCATGAAAAGACATCACTTAGGGAAGCCTTGAAAAACCTGGGAATATTGGACAGCTGTATCATCCTATTTTGGGACCCTTCAGTCCCAGTGGATGCGTACTGATGAAGAGTCTCAAACTAAGACGAAATAGCTGTCCAGTTCTTCTAGATTTTCCCGTGGTTTTCTAGCCAATGTCAATTCGTGGTGGAATCCTGAAACCAATCAAATCCCTAAAAACTAACACTTGAATGAACATTTTTTTGTAAATTTAACATAATAAGTGAAAGCTAACCTTTTGGTTGTACTTTAAATAAAAATAACAAGGAAACAATCTGATGAGCACTGAGCAAAACAATTGTTACAAGTTGTACTACTAAAAAAAAGGTAAACTAAGAGTAATGTTTTCAGTTTTCTGAGTTCACTGAATCAATAAATATCACTGAATTTTTTTTATTCATAAAGAAGTTATAGAGAAAAAGAGATTTACGGAAACGTATTTTCCAATAATACTTCATGATAGACATATCATCATTAGTCTCAAAGTTTTGTCCCCTAGCTCAAGAAATTCATTGCAAATACTAATCAGTAAAATTTTTGATTAAGATGTTTACATCCTGAGGAGAAAAAATAAACAGATAAATAACTAGGAGGAGGTGTTCGCTGTCAGTTAAAATGTCAGGATAACAAAATGTGAAGATTAGAGTTCCTTAACAAAATAACATATGAATATGAAATATTCCAATTGTATACTTACGGGCCACTAGATACTTTCATCCTAAAAAGTTACAAATGATTTATGGAAGTGTGAAAATTCTCCAGCTCTACACACACACTAGCAAATATATGAAAAACTGAGTGTCGCAGTTTGCAGACTCAATGAGAATTTCAAACCTTATGAAATTATCATATAGATTAGTTAGTAGAGTTTAACTATCAACAAATCACAGCATGCAGTGACAAGTGGAAGGCTTATGTTGACCTGGCTTAACGCTACAAATGAAAACGAAACTAAAAGATGTCCAAGATTCAGAAAGAGAAGGGTAATTCTGCCCTTCAAGGCTAAATAATTCCAGGTAAATCAACTGTTAGGATTCATTAGGGGGAATCACTTTATGCTGTTGCAGATAAACCAGACTGCATACTATGCACCAATAGAATATCTTATAAAAAGTGGTTCTATAGATGAATCAGAATAATTGAACAACCAAATTTATGTGAAATCTATGGAATACCTTCTGCCTTGCCTTTATAAACATTATCGAGGTTATAAAGTATTTAAGGGTTTTTCAAAGACAAAAGCAATTACAAACAAGAGAACAATAAGAGTCTGATTACTTACGTTGCTGGCTTAGCTCTGAACAAAAACAGGATTCAAAGGGAGATATAAATGTTTGCAGATTTTAGTGAAACAACAATCTCATGGAGATAAATAAAACTTGAAAAAGGCATGTAGAACGCGAGGCAGTAAACAGACCAACGAAATATACTTAGAAAAGGGCAATCAAGAGTAAAATAAAGCGGTGGGAATGACATGGTATGGTCATTTTAGTTTCCTTCTCTCGAGAATACATAGTTTAATCAAGTATGTATTTTCGGCATTTTTTCATTAGGCTAACCAATTATGTAATAAACATGTGAAGTATATATGTGAGATACAAATCTGGTCAATGGAATTAAATCGTTCATTACATGAGTGACAATAATCATATTTAATTGTAGTAGTAATATTGGTCGTAAATTCATGCGCATTTATATACAAGAAATCTACACAGAATGTATGTGGGGTGAAATTGAAGACCATTGAGTGGAAAGAGGAGTGAACAAAATATTACTGAACGCAGAGACAAAGCTCAAAAATTCTGATGACAAATGTCACAGATGTGTTTAGAAATAAAAGGCATACAGACGTACAGAAGTGAGGCTCCAAATTATACAGAATAGATTGGACTCAATCATTGTCAGTTTGATGCTTTGTACTTTGCAGATGGTACAGTATACCGCTCCTAATTGAATTTAACATCCCTTTGCCTCATCACATTGAACAATGCTCAAGGAAGTGATGATGAGCCTGCCAAGTTATTATATCTGTGTAACTGTCACCACAACAAAAGTTAGACATATATATATATATATGAATGCCGATCTAATGTCTAGATTAGAACTGTAAAACAGTCAGTAGGATTTCGATTTCACAATGAGACATAGAAGGCTGTAGGTGTAGTTTTACAAAGCTTGGATGTCAGTCATTAAAAGGCTACATATAATTTGAATGAAAATGTTGGAAAAGAACATTTATTTCATAACGTTAGTTAATAAGACCATGACTTTTCAGTTGAACAAACGTGCTTCACACAAATTCATGTAGATGAAAAATCCCAACATCATTTTGGATGAAACCAAGCAATTATAAGGCCAGCTGCTCTACCCACTTGTCACGAAATACAGAAGCTTAAAGGTCAACAAGTAAATACAGACCTCACAGGATTTCAACATGAGCTGAAATTGGTTAGAGAACAATTGGAAAACCTGGGAGTACTGGGTTCGAACCCAGGTGGGCGCGTACGGATGAAGAGTCCCAGGTTTCCCAATGGTTCTCTAACCAATATTAGCTCATGATGAAAGCCTGTAACCAATCAAATCCCTACAAACCAACACTTAAAGTACAGACCTTATCCGGTATTTCATTTCCATATGAAACGCAAATAACTGTTGGTGACTTACGGTGCAGCTGTTGGCTTGGCTCTGAAAGTGTTAGTGAAAAATTAGTCATTAACATATGTAAAAGAAATCAGTGACTGCCTGCCATTATAGAGATACTTAAATTTTTAGTTTCAGTACTTTAATTAAACCCTTGTATAACATGTCTTTTGGTCAGATACTTAGATTCAGAGTAATAAAATACCTAAACCTGTTCTATATGTTCAAAATCACATGTTGTTAAACTGCACCGGTGTTGGTAATCCAGTTTGAAAACTAAAAGTTCTCTTCGTAAAAATAATCCACTGAATTATGCTTTCACGTGTAAACAGTTATTTTCACCCATCAGTTACCCATTTGAATTATCTAGATCCACAATTGACCATTAGCATGGTGTTCATTAGCCATGTAAAACTCTTACACAAAGAGTACGAGTGGGAGCAGAACTAAAACAGCTTAGAGAACAACGGACAAGTATAAACCCCACATCCGATAGATTAGCTCAAAGTGAAATACACACAACTGGTAACGACTTACGGTGCAGCCGTTGGCTTGGCTCTGAAAGTGTTAGTAGAAAATTAATCATTAACACATATAAAAGAATATAACGAGTGTTTGCCATTTTAGATATGCTCGTAATTCGTGGTATCCTACTTCTGTATAAATTACCATAGTTTCTGTCGATTGCTGTATGAAATAGTATTAGTTAAATATTTTTTTCAGATGTATTCAACGCATACTGACTGAAGGTACCATTAAAAAAATACACGACAAACCTGAATAATAGATTAACAGATAACAACTGTTCTCTGAAATTCATTCAGCCCTACAGATGTGTCAAACGGAAGGCTAAACTAATTCAATCAGTTCCCACAAAAGAGGTGAATAGAAATTCACTGTTCAAGAGTTGTCTATAAACTTGGATCACTGAACAAAGTAAGAGAGCGGTGTTCGATAGAACTTACTATGCAGTCAAGCTCATTTCTATAGGAAAACGAAATTCACATCTTCCTGAAACCATGACACCATTTAAACCACAGTGTTACATCGAAATTTGGTTGCCCAAACATGAACCAATGGATGACACACCCATCACCTTATGTTGGCGCTGCAGAGCATATTCATAAGTGACTGTAAGCGTAGATTAAACCACCCGACTCTATTGACGCCGGAAATAAGTGACCAATATCGTCTGTAGCAAGCAAACATAAACACCATCCGATAATTTAACTCAATGCGAAATACACACAATTCATAATGACTTACGGGGGGGCAGCTGTTGGCTTGGCTCTGTAACAGTCAATGTAAAATTCATTGCGTTACACTTCTTACAGGATAAGTGCTACTTGTGATCTACGTGATCCTAACTACTAATCTAGCATCTGGTTATTTATTGTCCACTGACCACCGAGTAATACGTCTGTGGAGCACATTTGCAAAGCCACCTAGTTCTCTTAAAGACGATTTTTCATGTCATTTTCACACTATTCCTCTAAAAGTTGTTTTTGTGATTGTCTATGGAGATTAGAATCATTCGTGATGAATTATGCTGTCTGATTATCAACCGATGACTCAACCAACATCAGTAATGAGGTTGACAGCCTTTGAACGTCGATATGCTGAATATATTTATATTATTGTTTTCATCTAGTTACCCATGCCACTTTTTCAGTGTTCCTAGTAAAGTTTAGTTGCCATCAGGTTTACAATGAAACAACAGGAAAAGATGTCCTGTCTCAATGAGACTGGTTTTCCCGAATGAATTGTTCAGTTGCTGTACTTTCAGCTGCTGTCACTTCCTGGAAGTTAAAGTCTACAACCGCTTTGCAGATGTCATCCTAAAACGATTCATATCAGTCGTCGTTTCCAAAAACACTTCAACAAAACACCATGACAATTCGCAATTCATCAACTTTCTTTAAAACAGATGGTATTTGATGTCAGCATAACTAAATGCCGATGCCAAATTCAAATGCTCAACAGTCAACCATACTAAGAAATCCTCTTCCACCACACTCTCATCCGATTTAATGAATCAGTTACTTTCAAAGGTATGACTGCTCAGATTGAATTCCCTTGCACTACAATTTCTTGAGTGTCACAAAATTCATGTCAACCGATTGAATCCCAATATTAAGTGAATTCAATTTGACTTTCATTGCCATGTCACTGCTCCCAATTTTTTTTATCCTTCACGTTCCCCAATGGAACACAGGGCTTCAAGCTAGCGGCTTGAAGTTTCTGTAGCAGTGGTGATTATTTTTACAGGATAGGGTTGCTAGCCTCATGCCCAACCTTTCCTCTTCACCAGCATTATTTCTGGCTTAGCGAGGTAAAGGAGTGCGTCGGCCGGAGATCGAACCCCGGACCATGTGCATGATCGGCTCCCAATATCAGACAGAATTTCGCATAAATCTCAGCAATTCAGCAGTGATAGCAAGGAAGCTTCCGAGATCATCAGAAACGTCTGTTACACAAAGTTCACGCCCCCGCCCCAAAAAGAAACAATTACTTCAGTTGTCCAGACAAACAGATAATATATAGTGTTTTGAGGGTCGTAAGCTTTGAATAAAATAAACTGGAAGCTATTGAATCAATCTAAATTTCATTCTTCCATTTTCACATGAACACAGCAAGATCGTGAAAGCGGAACTCATTCTGCCCATGTTGATTTTATTATAATTAGTCTTATCTCGATGAGTGAATCCCTTTTGAATGACCAGTGAAAAATGTACAGCTGACAGAGAAATATGTGACACTAAAAAACATATTTTTGAAAATAGCTGTGACATTTAAAATCGACAAATATTTTTCACACATTACTTCAGATGAAAAATCCATAAACCTCCATGATAAATGGAAGCAAGCGAATAACACATCATATATCATAGCCATCTGCCACGAAATATAAAAGTTTAGAGGACAATGAGTGAATATAGACCTCACCTGATATTTCACTACGATGTAAAATGCATACAATCGGTGATGACTTACGGTGCAGCTGTTGGCTTGGCTCTATAAAAGTTAACAGAAAACTAATCCATAATGAGGAGGCTGTCGAGGTCACAGTTGTGTTAATTTTTGTAGGATGGAACAGAGATACAATCCAAGTTGGCCCGTCACAAACCATCGTTCCCCTTCAAGCGAATTACTATGGATAATATCCTGTAAATCCTGTACAAATCAATGCTCCTCATTTTGACTAGATCTACTCAACTTTGAACTATTCAAATTGCAGTCTGAGTGGAACTAGTGAAAAATCATACTAAAACCAAAACTTCACCCCTAAACCACTGCCACCAAGTTCTAAGTCAACTGGTTTATTAATAGACTTCTCTTCTGGCACCTCAGAAAATGAAAATATAAAAAACCATGCTAATAGTTTCATGGAGAGCTCTTCTAATTTTCATGGTAATGGGGATTTTTTGATGGATTCACAGAAACATTACAGCCAAGAGTAAGGGTGCGTTTGGAACATCTGGTGAATCATTCAAGCTTGACCAAACTCAACAAAATAAAGAAGTTTTAAAAGTAGAAAATGCAAACCGTCAGTTGACAAGTTCAGGTCAAAAACCCAGACTATCCAAACAAAACGTTGAACCAATCGGAATTTTGTCAAGACCCACACTTCTTCTACACATAAGAAGAAATGTGACCTGTCAACTAATTCTGCTAATGAAAATCTTTATCACTTTCGCTGTACTCACAATTCGCCAAACTGAGGTGTCAACAGAACCACCTGTTTACAGGAAACCTATGTGGTATACATGCTGCATATAAATTACCATAGTTGCCATTGGTTCAGAGAGACATTCAACACATATGAAATGGGAATAATTTCGTCTTCCTTTCTTTATCAAAATGGGAATAACATTGGAGAAAACATCAGAAGCCCTCCGAAGAACTCCGAAGTCAAATCACTAGACAAAGTCAGAGAGTTGTGCTCGACAGGACTTACTATGCAGTCAAGCTCATTTCTATAGAAAAACGAAATTCACATCTTCCTGTAAACCCTGACACCATTTGAACCACAGCACTACATCTATTGTGTCCACCAGTCTACCTGTTTTCATGGTCAACAAAACATGAACCGATGAAACACACACACCCATCACCTTATGTTGGCGCTGCAAAGCATATTCCTAAGTGACTGTAAGCGCAGATGAAACCACCCGACTCTACTGATGGCGGAAATAAGTGACCAACATCATCTGTAGCAAACAAACATAAACACCATCTGATAATTTAACTCAATGCGAAATACACACAATTCATCATGACTTACGGGGGGGCAGCTGCTGGCTTGGCTCTGTAACGGTTGATGTAAAATCCATTGCGTTACGTTACTTAGACACTGAGTTCTGTTTGTGTAATGCATAATTAATTTCACATGTCAATATGATATACGTGAAAATGAATCCACCGACTGCACACGACATAAATCTCATCAAATGTTCATGTTCACGAATAAATGGATCAATGAATCGGTCTAAATACAGCCTCACACTACTAATCGTTTGACGGAATTCTGAGTTCAAATTTAGGAAAAGACTACCAGCACCAAGTCATTCGAGGAGAGAAGGAGGGATTAATTCACTCAGACATTGAATCACATATGCACAGTTCTCTCCACTGGGAAATCCAGTGTATATCAGTTAGCAGTAAAATGATGGTGGATTCTCACTTCACTCTTAAACTTGCAAGTCAGATACTTTGACATTCACGACGACCGATCGACATTAACTTTCCTCTTTTCTTCTACTTAAATCACTTAAAACTGACTAGTTGACTGACCGGCCACTCCTCTGTCAAATCCTGTGGACAACACTGAACACATAGTGGTTTTAAAAGGAACATGTCACTTCTACTTCGCAAATTGGCTCACTTGACAGCAGAATATAAGCTACTGTTCTTTCTGTGTAGAATGCAGGGAATTCGCATATCTTATTCTTCGTGTGTCACTGTGATGATACATAAGTTGGTCAGCATTTCAATGTGGAGTGTAGCGATTTCGCCACCTACCACCTCGTCTTCCTAATCTCCTCTATCTTCTTCTTATCGTTACTCTTCTGAACAATGCATGAGACTGAAATTACTTGAGTTCCGTGATAATCATTTATGCCTACAATAACTGCTTAAACGTGGCTTCCATTTTTTTGTTTCTTTTTGTTTTATAATCCTAATTTTTAGAAAATTTTTCAGTCTTACAATCTCGTGTAAATTTCTCACCTTTTACTCTATTTCACAATGACTCATTCCTTAGTCATTCGTTTTCTGCTTTCCGTTTCCCTAAGTACATGATCTCCTACTGAAAGCTATTTTCATGACGGTCTAATTATTGCTGAAAATGAATGCATCCAGCTTTCTCTGACTCAGTGCTATTTTTCACCTAATGAAAAGTAGTTTAATGCCTATTCAAATGTGTATTTACCAATGTAAATGATGCACACCTTATAATCGTTTATTTTCAATCCTCCCGCCTGTTTGCACTTTATTTATCTAATACATTATTCATTGTAATCTGAATTTATGTACACTATTGTATATGACAAAGTTATTATACATCATGTGACAATAGTGAAATCTTCAATAGTTGGTTTGTAAGGATTAGATTTGTTTTTTACGAGTTGATCACGGATTGATATCAGTTAGAGAACCATCGAAAGCCAGGGAGGTCGCGCTAAATCACGAATTGGTAGAAGTTGGAATTCATGGGTTGGCCAGTGGATCGGGTCCCAATGGCTTAATGGCTGACGAGCTTGCCTTATAGTCGGAAGGTCCTGAGTTCCAATACCAATGGGTGCGTACTGTTGGTGATTCCCAAACTAGGATAGGACAGCTGTCCAGTATTCCCTAGTTTCCAATGGTTCTCAACTCGTAAAAAAAAAATTAGTGAAATCTGAAAAATTACTTCATAATTGAATTCTGAGTGGTGTTTTACTTATGCAGTAAATACTTGCTGATATATGAATCAATATAGAATATTCTAAGTTACACTGTACACATCTCTGATGATATTTTCACTGTTTATGTACATATTATGGATAACAATACCAATAGAAAATTTTACAACTCACGGAGATGGAGGTGGAGGTCTGTAATGAACATGAAATTATCCTTTCATGATGAATAAACACCTTGTGTTTTCATTACTAAACAGTAAACTAAAAACAATCTAAATTCATGAATAGTATCAATTTGTATAAATTAACTCACATACGCTAAGCACATCTATCTCACTTATTGCATTGAAAAATTATGAGGAAGGTTACAACTGTTTCTTTTATCAAGTGTTGGTTTTTGGGGGGGATTTGACTGGATTCAAATTAGATTTCATCATTTAGAGGATAGTTTTTCTTCTTGATCAACCGAATCACTAGTTGATGGAGTTCGTAAGAGAATTAGTTACTGGTGGCGTCTACCAAGTCGGGTATGAAGACAGATACTCACCGCTGTCATTGAACTGCAGCAGGTGAAATTCATGAGCCACTGGATTTCATTCAAGTTGCTGAGTAGTAAGGTACTCGCCTAGTAATCTGAACATCTTGGGAACGATCGCTGGCCGTTTCATGGGTGTGCAGAGTCACACACCAAAATGAAACACTTATCCAATACTCCTTGGTTGTCAAAGACCACCCAATTACTAGCCAATTGTGAATCCTGCAGCAATCCACATTTTCGATTCCCCCCAGTCATCACCAGTTAAATGAGCAATAGATTACTGCATTAGGCTATAATAACTCCGATTCACAGTGAAACCGTAATCATAAATGGCTTAAATTAAGAAGGAATACATCACGCTAATATAATAAACTAGCCAGAATGTTATAACTGAGTGCTATTAAGGCAGACTGCATAAAGAAAATATGCCAGTTTCTTATCAGTACGTAAGTAAAAGTTACAAGTCCTATTTTTAAATATTTTGATGACTCTAACTTATGAGGCAATTACAAATGGACAGTTGTCTTTCCATTATTTTCAATAAATCAAGTAAAATATAATTAACTGGCACAATCGCTGTATAACTAATTACACAAAGACGTTCTAAGTAAAGTAGAACACCAGTAATTTGGATTCATACAACTATTTTCCTTCAATAAACTTGAACAAAGTATGAACAACAAACTGAGCAGGATAACTTGGTGATATTTTATTTCTCTAATTCTTTTCAAATGCATACAAATATGGATTCACTTCATCATGGGATTCTGATGAAACATCATGGGGTGGATCTCTGATAGGCGCGTGGGTAACTACTACCAAAGGGTTCCAAATTAGGACAAAGCGTCAGCCCACCGTACTCTGGTTTTTACTGATCCCCCCCCCTCCAACTGATGTCGATTAATGATGAAATTTACACTGGAATAATGTAAAAGATCTTGATGACTTATTTTACCTCTTGATAGGGAATTTGTTAATTCTACTAGTTATTCACTAACAGAATGTAATGCAAATGAAATTACTACACAAACTCAACTCTTAACAGTTTTAGATATGAGTTAAAACTCACCCTGGTTTTGCTGCTGGCCTCCTAAACGATAAATAAAAGTTGATTATATTCTTTTAAAATCACAAGTTGCTTGTTTGTGAAATTTACAGAAATCGACTGGTTATATTTACCAACTATATACAGGCGTATCTATCCTCTTGACCTTTCACATCAAAGCCTGACTTCTATTCAGTAATGACGTGAATTTTCTATTCAGTGTTTTAATTATTTAGAGTAATATCCACGAACTAGAAGTGAAACTAATAACTATTCAATTAAACACAAGGAAAACATTATTTATCTTATGAGAGAAACTTTTTAACACACAATGACTGGAGATTTGATGTAGAAGTCTCTTCAAACCATGCGTGAACTGATATCTATCGATCTACTTTGATGTATTTCATGACAAGGGCCTACTTATTCACAGATGAAAACAGAATACTGGCAGTTGATTACGAAGTTACAAGTTGGAAAGTTAACACTTACTAGGCACTAAGACCAGCGTTGCTAGTCTTATGTGGCGTCTGAATAGGCACTGTGTTAATTCCTTTCCTATCTGCCCTCTGTTATTCTTTCTTTTGTTTTAAAATTCATACTACTTATCACCATTAAGTAGTATGATTTATATCTGTCACTTAATTAACAGGACTTTTGTTTGCAATTGAAGTTTAACTGACTTAATGTATTAGTACTCTACTTGATGGTAATTATGGTAATTATTTTCTTATAGTTGAACATTATCTGCTGCATATGCTTCATTTATGTTCCGCTTTCTGTTGAGCATTGTTGATTCAAATCCCTTCATTATTTTATCTGGTATTCGCGTGCTGTTTAATTCACACGTGGATTCCCTTTGACATAGATCTGCTATTTTTCTTATTGACGCACAGTGACTGTGCATTTGACGGCATTCAGCCATAGACACCTTACAATTTGAGGTTTGTATGTTATATTTCATTATGTTTAATATAGTACCGTATTTTAGACAAATCCTGTGTTTTTGGATTGTACGCGTCACTCAACATGTGGTTTAACCAGTCTATTCGATTATCGCTGGAGATTTCTTGGAAGAAGTCTACAAAGTGACTCGCTTAATAATTTAATTTTATATCTGAAATATGTCACAAAGAAGACTCTCGTTGATCTTATGGTTCCTCTTTTTTATTATCTCTGTTAGTAAAATTGACCTCTTCCTGAGAGTGGAAGGAGAGTTGTTCAGACACGTATTTGCCGAACTCCTCATCCCCGGAGAAGCTCTCACTCTTTCGCAGATGTAAAAACGAATGCCCATCTATTATGTTACTATAGAACACTTCAGGATGTAATTAAAAGTCTTTACAAAAAAGTTTCATAATCATAAACAGTGAATAACATGTCATGGCTCTCAATATTCGATAAATTCTATTGTTCAGCTCATAAAAATAACTAAAAGAACAAACCTGACTGATAGAATTCAGTCTGCATCAAAGAAAGGACCAGATACATCACACTAGTTACCAGTGTCCAATCAAAGTATCCACCACAGTCCTACAGGAGTTCAATCGCTAGCCCGAATATCTCATTGGTGACGTTTTCGACTGCAGGCGGCACTGGTTGACGAAGGTTCGAATCTCTGAAAGGATCTGAGCTCCTTCAAGATTTCAGATACACCTTGGTGACTGGTGAGTGCCAATTAGCACGAAACCTAGGTCAGGTAAGGCTTTCTGCTGAACGCCTCCAACCATCTAATATCATCAAATCAATGTGCACCGTGATGTCGAGCTACCTAGAATGATGACCACATTGCAAACCTGACTGACAGAATTCAGTCTGCACCAAAGAAAGGACTAAACACATCACACTAGTTACTAGAGTCCAATCAAAGTATAACTATGAAACTAAATTACATAAAAATGGTTCTCATTTCAGTCGATAAAAGTATAACTGAAACACTTTTAATTTCGGGTATTAGAAAAATGTGAAATTTCCTTTTGAAAAAAATAATGAAACCTAGAGATTTAAAGCCCAAAACAAATTATAATTAACGAATTAACTGAGCGAATTCCATTTTTAACAGAAAAAATTACCCTCCTGAAGTAAAAATAAACGTGTTAAGAAGATTTACTGAAAAATAAATTACGATTACTCACACTGGTGGTCTGAGATAAGTAATCAAAAGATTATTATGGTTATTAATCTAACGTAATGTACCTTAGAACTATTGAATAACTGTAGTAAACTTAAGCGAAAAATACAATACGTTTGATATCACTAAATCAATGCATCTTAATCAAGTGAAAACTATTCACCAAAGTTATATAATCTATTCAAATTTGCACAGTTATAAAAGAAACTTTTATATGAATCATGAAACAAAGAAAAATTCAGTAACCGATGAACTGCTGATTGAAAAACGAACTATGCGCTCATATATCATACGGAAATGGTGACTAGATAGTGACGGAAGCCAGCCATCCAACAGGCTGGTTTAGGGTTATCTACTCAGTATGTTACTGAGTAAATCTGTTGATTTAGCATCGTAAAAGTTACCTTCAGATGTTCAGACTTTAATGTTTTTACGTCGATTCCGGTGTTTAAACCATAAAGGTTATACTACACAACTCAATTAATTAAATTTTGACACTATCGTTTGAAGGAATTTCTTCCGAACAGACAGTTTATGAACAGACTGGTTTTCTCCATAACAGTATTTAATTCATTTCTAATTAACAGACAACTAAGTGGTTCAAATGGCAATTTGTATCACTTGAATGAATTCTGAGACATACCACATGGAGTCACTGAATACAAGTTTCTGTGGTTTCTTGGACCTCATTCAAGTAACTTCTACTTTCAGCTGCGGTTTGGCAGTTTTCAGCTCTACATCAGCGTAATCCCACCCGATAAAGTGATACTTGCATGCAATACTACAACTGTTGTTTAGGTTTTTACGAATATATGAACACATTAACATGAAACGGTGTCTTGTGATTTATGTTCGGAATAATAACAGCCAAATAGAAGGCGGTCGTGTAGCATTTGCATCACATTCATTTGCTGCCTTCTTATATGTGCATGACTGATGGAAAGTAAAAGTATCCTGAATACATAATGGTTGAGACAGGAGATTATAAATTTTAGCTGGGTTTTCATGTAATAAAAAATGCTAAAGACCAGTGTTTTGGTGTTAAGTGCAGAGCTGACCAGAAATTAGCAGTGAACATGGATTTCATGCTTTTCTGGGACTCATTATTCAGTTAATAACTACACTAAGAACTGTATCGACTTGTGCTAAAGTCTTGAAGTATACAGAGATTACAGGTCAATGACAGATTTACTTATAAAGCTGTTGAAGTATTCTGGTGAATACGGTTCTTCACAAACATGACGCTGATTTTTAGCATGTTATATCGTTCTCCGTTGAAAAATCTGTAAAGATACCTCTCTTTGAAGTCCTTTCACGACCCTTTTCTTCATGCGACTAAAAATCTGATTTCACTAGGAAAATCCAAATTAGTCTTATAAATTTCATGTGATTCCAGAATGAATACCATACAGTTAGATTCCTTGAGCATAACATTGGAATTCAAGGAATGAGTGTGGTTCAGTGTGATTAGTTATTAACTAAGTTTCTATCCCTTTAACAACAATCAGTAGCCTCATCTCATAACAAATTATCCTAGAGGCAAGAGTGTCATGTTGTGACTCCTAAATGGGAATGCTGATACATATCCCATTTTACTAATTACTTCATACTAGAGATTATATCAATATTCAACTTTTACAACGACTTTATATGAATAATTCTAGACACCTTGTTCATTTTAATCAGGCATTAAATAACTTATTAATGTGAATTAAATTTACAGTGTGAATGGTTAAGGTAATAAAAGCATACCTCACTGGTCTAAGAGGCAATATGATTTATCAAGATGCAAACGGAAAGAGTGATAACATAAATTATGGATACAACTAACTAAACTTCTTGTTATTAATAAATGCTTCTAACCATTGATGAAAAGGTTCTATTAAGTACTTCATGTCAAGCTAACTGATAATTATTTTCACTAACTGAAATTTTTTTGGAAGTCTTCCAACAGTATTTGTATTGTACTTCATTAATGTGATAACAAAACGCCTTCTGGTGAGTGGTGTCGAATTCCACATAACCGTGCTTATCTAAAATCACGAAGATTTTTAGCTTATGTGAATATTCTTACATGGCTGGTTTCACTTAGATGGACTGTTTTATTTGTTAGGCTTTTACTTCCTCAGAGCCTAATTCACAGTGAAGACTCAATCCCCAACCTCTGAAGTGAAATGAAGATCTCATCAGTTTCTGGACGTCATATTTCAGTCTATACACCGTCAAGTTGGTAACTAAGAGGCAGTCACCCAGTTTTTTTTCAATTAAACTCCACACACTACTTTATTACATAGAACCGATCACTTGAAACGTTCAAGCATACCAGTGTAAAATTTTCAGCTCACCTTTTATTTGGAATAGCATCTAGGAAACACCAAGAAAGAGAGTACATTGAAAAGTACTTTCACTAATCTCTCAATATATAAAATTCCAACAAGTTACCACATTTAATGACCGATAATGATCACTTATTAGTCTAACTACTAACTACACGTTACAAGTAGTATAAATGTTTTCTCCATTTAAAAAAAAATTACAATGACTTAAGAAAGTGTTTTCAGTAAACTAAGAATACCTAATCTATACTTCACTCACCAGTATTGAAGCTAGAAATGATGGCGAGTACAAGAGTACAAGCAATACCTATCCAAAACAATCGATTCATAGCTGAAGAGTCTTCGAAATACTGACAAAATAAAGCAGTGCTTCAGTTAAACCTTTGCCTATATTTATATATGAAACCAATTTCTATATTTGTCATAATTATTTACATATGAATAGTCAAAATTATTCATTAATACTATTACTATTATTTGCAATTATTACATATAGACTAATACAATCATACCTTGAAATTTGAGAACATAAAATACATAATAAACAGTCTTATGTATTAAGTGGTATATATATATAATAAGTAATAATAATTCTAATTATCACCATCATTATTTACAATAGATCAAATTAATTTGTTCGTTTATTCGTCTAACTTTCGATGTTCAAAAATATTTACATTGTTTGAATGTGTTAGACACAAATATAGCACTGGTTAGGTCCTCTTCCAAAAAGAAAAAACCTGATGGTTAGGAAAACTCTAAAATATACCATGAATAGACAAAGCTATTCAAAACTGCAGTTCCCATAATTGAAAAACGAACAAATTCATTGTGGCTCATATACTAAAGATACTCGCTAAAACCTAACAGAATTAAATCAAATCCAGTTTAGTAGATTTCTGTCCCGCTTTTATATACTCCATAAACTTATCATGCTTGACCTCCAGGCTTGAAGGCATTATTTTGTTGATATATTCGCATTATTTATTTATGTGAAATTAGAGGTGTTGAAGTCACTTACCATGGTGATGAAAGATTCATAAGAAGTTAAAAAAAATAATAATAATTCAATTCATCAATCCACAAGAAGGACCCTGCAGAGGCCGAAAAGACTAAATCAAGCTAATTTAGCTGGAAAATATAGTATATTCTTAGAAAGAACTTTTAAAGAAGTGGAGGAATGTCAAACAAGACATTAGAATAACTCCCAGTTTCGCTCATGAGCATCAATAGTCATCTAGAAAATTATCGTTTGTGGTCAGGAGCTGGATTCTGGAATTATTATTGGCTAGGATTTACTCTATGGTACTTTCTAGGATAATGTTATTTCCTTAAATTCTGAACACCACTCATTATTATTAATAGACTCGACCTATCCATAATAACTTCAATATAATCTACAAACTTTGGCTGGACACTTGCAAGTTATTAATGTAAACACAGGTACATACTTCAGTCAATACTTTTTAACTTCGCCAAATTTTCTCTTGATTCTAAGTTAGGAACACTTTCTATTACTGCATAGTTGATTATTATTTATTATTATCATTAATATTATTATTATATTTCGATTCCCTTGGGTTCCGGATGTAACACAGGGCTTCAACAGCCCACACCAATTAACTTTATTGCGTATCCCCGCTAATTGTAGCGTCGTAGCCCGTTGCTATGGCGATTTGATGACAAATTATATTTTGCATATGCTTTTTAAATGACAATTTGCATTAAAAAAATTTTCTTCACTTACAGATTATCGGTGGCATTGTATTCTAGAATTGCGTTACACTTACTTCACTTCAATCAGAAAATGTCGTTTAAATGAACTGAAATGTGCACAATTTAATGGATTAAAGGATGCAGCAAGCTCAAAAGTCAAACGTGTACCTTTGAATTTATATGGCCTGTTTATTAAGAAGCGACAATAGCCACCGGATAAAGCAAATGGCGTCATCTTAAAAAAGAGATACGCCATTTCATCGCCTGTTCATCTCCATTTCATCCTGTTCTCTGCAGCTCTCTTCAGTTGGTCCCACGATTACCTACAAGTTTCATCGCCTCATGTCAAACTTGGATGCCAAACCCGTTATTTCCCATTCGGTTTCCACTCAAGTGATAGCCTGGAGCTAGATGTCACTCAACAGTTTCCACAGAGTTTATCCAATCCATCTCTAATTCCTTCGGCATATTTGTTAAGCAACAGATTGTTGATTAGTCCGTTCCCAGAGTTACTTGCCGTATAGCTGATACTGATCGAAATTAATTAGCGCTGAATGTAGTGACAAGAATTTTACAGTGAACTCATGAAGGTAACTCTGAAGTGTCTAAAACACTACTGAAAAAATCACTGGATTTGCACGACTGCATCGCAACTGATGGAAGATTTCATCATATCAATATTCAAACACAACACCAGTTACCATGGATACCTGTCTGTTTGAATTTGCTATTCTGAAGTAAAACAAAGCTGCTGCTAGTATAAAGCATACTCAGGAAAAAGAACCTTTTCCACCTCATCCTCCGAATCTTTCATAAACCGTTTGAAATATTTTCTGTATAACATTGGAATAAAAGTGAATTAATCTTTTGAAGTTTTTGTTAAATTTTAATTTCTTTGATAATGCTACAACAAGTATAGTTAATTTTAGTCTAGTACATCTTCCCTGCACCGAAATACAAATAGGGCTCAAATAAACAGTACAGCAGTAAAGTAAGCAAACTTTAGCTAACTAAACCTCTAGTTCACCTCCAGATGTTTAAGGTTTTTTTGAGTTTAGTTTAAACCAGTATGTTTTTGAGCAGCGTCAGACACCATTTTTGCGCTTCATCTATGCTGGTGATCACTCACAGTCCCAAAGTCCCCAGCGCAGTCATCATCAGGTGGAAAAGATGGTGAATTTTTCTCAGAAATCAACCTTAACCTTCTGTCTACAAACTATATCACCATTCCGATCAAACTTACAAGTAAATCAGACTTCAAATTCACAAGAGAAGAGGAATCAGAAAACCAAATCCCATTTTTGGACGTCTTAGTCAAGCGAGCAACGACATGGGAATTAGAAACTCAAGTCTATAGAAAATCAACTCACACAGACCAAATCCTGAATTACAACAGCAGAAATCCAATAGCACACAAGAGGAATTGCATACAAACACTATTCAAGAGAGCCAGGACTCATTGCAGCACTCCCACCTCAAGGAAAGTTGAAGAAAAATATCTCATGGACGTCTTCCAAAAGAATGGATATTCACGGAATTTCATCAAAAGACATATGCCCCCAAGCCAACCTATCAAACTGAAAGCCCCCAAGGAAAGCACAAAGCAAATCGCCTTACCATATATAAAGGACATCTCAGAAATCACTACAAGACTCTTCAAACCTTTAGGAATTGACGTCGTACACAAACCAACAAAGTCACTCCACTCATTTCTATGTCAACTAAAAGACTCAACAGCGAAGGAAGATAAAACCAACATCATCTACAAAATAGATTGCATCAACTAAGAAAAACACTACATTGGCCAAAGTGGACGTCCCCTTCGTCTTCGTATCCACGAACATAAGCTAGCTGTCAAAAGACATGATATCCACGCCCTCATATCACTACATACAGACAACCACGGGCATCAATTCGACTGGGACAACGTTCAAATATTAGACAGAGGAAACAACAAGAATGCTAGAGAATTTTTAGAAGCTTGGCATTCCAGTGAATCATCAATCAATAGACACATCGAAATAGACAAAATTTATCAACCGATAAGAAAGAAGCCTCACGCACAAAGAGTCAAAGTTCAAGTCAAAGAAACAATGAGTCACAATACAAGTAACCTAGAAGGTGTGAAAACACACAAAAACAACCAATCACGTCCAAGGTCACCAGGAGAGATGATTAATAAACTCGTGGAGAAATCTGAAAGCTCACTTCAAATTGAAGTATGCGCTGAAGATGTCACCTAGTAGGGTGATGAAAGATTCGCAAATTAACTATCCAACCACATCAAAATCATCCACCTGAGCTACAAATCTTCTCTATCATATCCACCTTTGGTATTGTGTTTCGCTACCAGTACTTGAAGGTTAGGCAGGCTACCAAATAACCTGCTACTCACTAGTGCGCATCAGCTTTCAGCAGGATTGATTAAGTATTATGAAATAATAGTGCGTATAAACGCTACACTTAGTGTGCCTGTAATTAGGAGCCAACTGACACCTGAAACTGAAGGAGTAAGTTTTCTTCAAGGTATAAAAAATTCCCATGTGATATGGATCCATGACATATGAATCAGTAAAGCGATCGCTTTCCATAATTTCACTTCACAGCTGTGCCCTTATTAAGGGGGTTATGCATATTCTGTTAACTGACATCGGAGGTCATAGTTACTATAGGCTAGCAACAAGCCAGTGCATCGGTGGCACAGCGGTTGAATGCTCGCCAACTATGCATGCGGTTCGGGGTTCGATAACCGGCTGGCACACTCCTTTACCTTGCTAAGCCAGTAATAAGACTGGCAAAGAGGGATGACTGAACATTAGGCTAGCAACCCTATCCCGTAGGAATAAACATCACTGCTTCCGAAACTCCAGAGCTCTAGCTTGAAGCTATTCGTCCCACACGGAATGTAAAGGAATAAACTAATAATAAAAGCAATAAAATAAATCAAAATGTATGAGTAATAACAGTTTTTGAGGATTAACACCTAGTCAGTTGAGTGATCAATAATCATTCGGAAATAACAGATATGAAACAAGATGCAGAAGGATTGAAAATAGGCAACGAAGTTAAAATCTTCTGTTGTTTGGTTTGTAAGGATTAGTTATGTTTTACGAGTTGATCGCGGACTGATATCAGTTAGAGAACCTTGGAAAACCAGGGAGTAATGGACAGCTGCTGTTTCATCCTAGTTTGGGAATCACCGGCAGTACGCACCCACTGGGATTCGAACCCAGGACCTTCCGGTTACAAGGCAAGCTCGTAAACCATTCAGCCACTGGGACCCGATTTAACGGCTCATGAATTCTAACTTCTACCAATTCGTGATTTTAGCGCGACCCCAACTATTGTCGTTGGTGGGACATCCATCCATACATGTGACATCTAATTGGAACTCACTGGTCACTACTTCTCACTAGAACTCCAGGAAGCTCCATCCTGTAGCAGGTCACTAGCGAGCATCAGATTTATTTTCTATAGTTTGGTTTGTATCAGTCCGTGATCAACTCGTAGAAGATAAAATCATTTTAGAAAATGAATAAAACTGAAAATTAAAAAGAACTACATAGAGTATATTATGCAACTGTTTGGGAAGGTGACAACTGACACTGAGGTCACGGTAATAAAAGATACTGGATAAAACTTTTCTAAACACAAAGTTCATGTTT